TGTATTTTTTTTTTTTGCACTGCTGGGAATTGAACATAGAGCCTCATACATGCTAGGCAGGTACTCTATAACTGAACTGAATTCCCAGCCCTGCCAAGCAATGTGTTACTGGCTCCTACATACTAAAGGAAACTGGTGATAACTGACACCAGGTAGTGAACAGATGCCAGTTTTTTCCTTTTCTTTCAAGCCCAAATACACCATTACATAAATGAGTAGTTTTGTCATTAGAATTTTGTGTCTATCTCCATCACCAAATTGTACATAGTATTAGTTTAGTAAACATGATAGTAAAAGAAACTGTTTCCAAAGACAAGGTGATGGTGAAAAAAGCTTGAAACCTTTCATTTTTGTTCTCTGCTGTTGGGTTACATTTCAAATATTGTTACTATTTGCAGAATGACAAGGACTCTTATCGTGCTATGATGTCCCTTATAAAAGTGTTATTTGTATGTATTTTAAGAAGTTTCCACAGTAGTAGGTTTCCATATGACTTTGTCAAAAGGCCTTTAGTGTTGGTTATCTCTCCCTATACTCCCTCCTCTACTCTGCCCTCCTATTCTCCACTCTATTTAACCCTTCCTATCCCATTAGTCCCCTTTCCCTCTTTATATCACTATATTCTGTGTCCCCTCCCAGGAAGCCACCCTCATAGCCCCATTAGTAGTTTCCTGACATCTATCGACTTTCCAGTTGAAACACACTAACCATATCTAAAGCTTCAAAGCTAGCATTCACTTACAAGAGAGAACATGGGACATTTGTCTTTTTGGGTTGCCTCACTCAGGATAGTTGTTTTCATTTTTTCCATTTACCTGAAATTTCCATAATTTTGTTTGTCTTAACAACGGAAAAATATTGCATTGTGTAACTACATTATATTTTCATTACCCCTTCATCAGTTGTTAGACATCTGAGTTGCTTCCATTTTCTGTCTATTGTGCACAGAGAAGCAATGAAAATGGACAAGCAGGAGTCTCTGTAGTAGGATAGAGTCCTTTGGATATGTGCCCAAGAATGGTATAGCTGGATCATGTGGTTGATGTATTTCTAGCTCTTTGAGGAATCTCCACTGGTTTCCATGGTAGCTTGTAGCAATTTACATTCTTTTTTTAAAAAAAAAAAAAACCTTTTTTTTGTTTGTTACTTTTATGTGTATGGGTATATTGCCTGCATGTATGTAAGTGCAATGTGTCATGCAGTCCCCAAAGATGGCATCAGATTCCCATGAAACAGGAGTTACAGATAGTTGTTGGCTGCCATGTAGATGTTCTGGGAATAGAACCCAGGTCTTCTGTAAGAGCAGCCAGTGCTCTTAACCACTGAGCCATCTCTCCAGGCCCCTAATTTGCACTCTTACCAGCAGTGAATAACTGTTCCCATTTCCCCACATCCTCACCAGCATTTGTCATCATTTGTCTTTTGGATCTTACTATTCTGACTTGGGTGAGATGAAATCTCAGAATAGTCTAAATTACGTTTTCATAATGGCTCAAAATATTGAACATTTTAAAAAATATTTCTCAACCTTTTGTATTTCATCTTTGGAGAACTTAGTTCCTTGCTCTCTCTCTCTCTCTCTCTTTTTTTGTTAAGTTCCATGTATATTCTAAATACAAACCCTCTGTCAGATCTATAGCTGGTAAAGCTTTTTTCTCGTTTTCTTGGCTACCTCTTCACTTGAGTGATAGTGTCCTTTGCTTTACAAGAAGCTTTTTTAGTTTCATGAGGTCCTTTTTGTCAGTTGTCTTATATCTGTACTGTTCAGCAACTCCTTTCCTATGCCTATATAAGTTCACATCTATTCCTTATTTTCTTCATCAAATTCAGGACTATAAGGTCTTATATTGAGGTCTTTGATCCATTTGGACTTGAGTTTTGTGTAGGGTGAGAGATAGGGATCAGTTTCATTCTTCTACATGTAACTATCCAGTTAGACCAGCACCATTTCTTGAAGATGCCGTCTTTTCTCCAATTAGAGTTTTTGGTGTTTGTGTCAAAAATCAAGTGGCTATGAGTGAGTTCATAGCCCTACCCCTAGTGGAGAAACTATGGGCAATTGATAGCTACTCGGGGAGGGAGAGCTGGTTTAAGGGTGTGATGCTGATTAGGTTAACAAGGCCCCAGGGGAGGGACCCACACCTAAGAGTATTTGGGGAAAACAAATTAGATTCTATAGGCCTTAAGAAACAGTGAAGGACATGAAGTGACAGGGAAGTGGAGGTAGATCCGAGAATAGATGAACAGGGGGTCTCAATATGATTAAAATAATAAAAAGCAATAAACATATTATGATTTACACTTTTTCCTAGTGTGCTTTAATTTTTCCCGTTTCAGGTGGTTTGGGTTTTGTTTTTCAGTTATTTTTATGAGTTTATTCTTTAATTCCTTGCTAAAACTTTTAAATTCCTCCTAGTGTTTTGTACTGTTATAAAATACATCTCTCCTTATTAATTATCCCCAAGTAGTTTGTTCATCAACTTTTATTCTTTAAAACACTTGCATCTGTCTTCTGCTGCAGTCTACACTTTATTCTCTTGGTGACCTACTTTTTCTGGAGCTTCTCCCATCACTGTGGGCTATGAGATGCCTGGATTCTTTCTATACTTTCTTCTTTGGGTACATAGAGTATACCTCATGGCTGTCCTGAGAGAGTCTGTGATTGGGTGCCAATTTTGAGAGTTTGCAGTTTGCACTAATACTCACCTGACAGTTGGGAGGGAAAATTCTAAATTAGAAAATGTTTTTTCCCCTTAGATATTTGAAGGTATTGCTCAATTATCTTCTAGATTCCTGTATTGCCATAAAAACTCCAGTGTTTATTAATTTTTTGATTCTCTATAAGTAATCATTGACCTAAAAGTTTTTAAGGTCTTTTCTTTACTATTCTCAACATAAAACATAAGAGAATCTATATTACAATCCACATAGAGAAAAATGTATTTAGTCTTCTAAAAATGTTAGAACAAGCATGAATGATAATGTACATGCATATGCTGTGTGTTTGGTGCTCTAGTGTTATCGAAACCCTAAACCTGAAAATTCAAAGGTTTTCCTGTTCTTTTTTGGCATTGGCTCAATAGTTTATTAAATTAAGTTTATTTAAGATGTAATTTAAGAGGCTGGAGAGTTGACTCAGTGGTTAAGAATATTGACTCTGCTTGCAGAGGACCTGGGTTCAATTCCCAGCACCTATGTAGTGGCTAACAACTGTACATAATTCCAGTTCCAGGAGAATCCAATGCTCTCTTCTGACCTCTGTGGGCATTGCACAACATGGGTGCACTTACATACATGCAGGCAATACACTCATATACATAAAAAATAAATAAAATGTTTTCTATAAAAGATGTAATTTAATACAATAGAAACTCTTGGCTTACCTTGACAAATATATATTACGATTACAAAATTGAACCAGATTATACTCATTAGTTATAAATTTTATCAGTGAAGTAGAAGTGAATATTTCCTATCTTCATTGTCTTACTATTATCTCATGTATGTAACAGGTAGTGATCAAAACAAGATAATGCTATGTCTGTCACTTCAGGCTTTTTCATTTGTTTGTGCTATGCATATTCAAAATTCTCTTTATTACCTGGCTTTAGTTGAATGATGGTTGCCAACTATTTTTGGCCTACAGTGCTGTAGAACATCACAAATCACTTCTTCTACCTAGCTTTAAACCATCCTCTTTCCATTTTTACTTTCTTCAGTCCTCAGTAGCTACCATCCTGTTCTCTACTTCTATCACATCAACTTTTAAAATTCCGTATATACAGTTTACCTGTGTCCGCTTGGTTATTTCACTTAATATCCTCTAGGTTCATCTAGATTATGGAAAATGAAAGGCTTTCCCTCTTTCTAAGACTTGGCAGTATTTCCATTGTATATATACAATATTTTCTTTTCCTTTTTCTTTAAAAAATTTTTTTAAAGTTTGAGAACAGTTTTATTGCTGTTAAAAAAAAAAAAAATCTCCAAACCAGACAAGGTATAAATCTCAACAGTTTCACAGAGGCAGAAGATAGAGAAGAGAAAGAATGTCATGCCATTTGAGTTAGGCAGGAATGGAAAACTTCATTTCTCCTGCCTCAGTCCCATGAGTGCTGGTATTCGGATGTAAACCATCATGTCTGCTTCAGTTTCAAGTTTTTAGTTTTGAGCTGGCAGTTGTCTGTAAGAGATAAAGACTTACTTTTATTCTTCTGCGTGTCAGTATCCAGGCAGACCTTCTTAGGTGTTTTCATCTTTTAATAAAAGGCAGTACTTTATTCTTAATACTATATAAGAATTTGAAAAGAGTGTACTTAACAATAACCCGATTAATCCAGTTTTCAATTTTATTTGACTGCTTCTTCATTTATCTTCCTTACCACCTCTACTGTCTTATATGATCTTAATTGTAGAATTTTGTGTTTTGGATGAATCTGTAATCACCTTCCAAAAAGTTGTATAAGTTCTAGAGCACATTGCTTAGTTAGCTAAATTGCTCACTCACATTCATGCCAGCCACTTGCATATAGCTGCTGCCAGTTTCTCATGTGGGTAAGAGAAAGTTTCACTTTCCTGAAATGTTAGAAAATACCTTCGTTTAAAACAATATTTTGTCAAAATCATGTATAGGAAAGATCATTCTGTTCACTTGAACAGAGCTTGCTTTGAGCACAGTTTACACAGTAGTTGGGGAACAGCTTTGTATTTTTACATAGTTAATCTCTTGCTGCCTATGCCATCTAACACCAGTAGTTTCCTTCTCTCTGTTGCAGAGAGCAAGTGCATCATGTTTGTCTTGCTTCACTAACTTGATCCTGTGCTCTTAATATTGGACTTCAGCTTCCTTCTCTTCTTTTCTTCCCTTTTTAATTCTTTCATCTTTCTGGCCTCAATTTGCTTCTAAAGGGAAGGATGGCTAATAAGCAAATAGCCCTTCCTTCATGACTAGGCTCTTGTGTTAACTGATTAGCTTACTTCACCCAGTCTTAATCGTTTTCCAGGACAGTCTCCGTAAGAAGGATGACAGGATTGAAGAGCTGGAAGAAGCACTGAGAGAAAGTGTACAGATAACTGCAGAGCGGGAAATGGTGCTAGCACAAGAGGAATCAGCCAGGACCAGTGCTGAGAAACAGGTCTGCGATTTTATGTAGCTACTGGCACTGCTGCTGGGTATATACAAGGTAAAACACATCCAGGGTAGCTCGAGGTCAGCTCCACATGCTGACTGTTCTTGGAGTAACAGAGCTACTTCATCAAGTTTTAGTATTTAAACTTATGTAGTGACTGAATAAAATAGCGCAAAAGTTGACTCATGTTAATGTTCAGGTCTCTGATGATAATTAGGACTGATTTCATACATTTATATAGTAAAAGCTAATAATGTGTCTAATGAGCTAACATGGAGCTTCTCTGTTTGCTACAAGGTTATGTGAAGCCCTAGCTTTTAAGGTAAATGAGGAAACACAAACATGTCTGACTCAAAGACATTAATTTCAATGAGAATATAGTTTATTTATTTTATATCTTACCATGCTCAGAGAGCTTTTAAGGTTGTAAGAAGTTATGAGTACATTTGAATGTCAGATACTGTGGTACTCCATTACCAAATGAACTTGTCTCAGCCTCATGGTAGCTTGAAGGAGTTCTACCATTTCTGTCCATGGAATTTGTTTTATATGCTTCAAGTTCATACTTGGTTTTCTTGGGGGGTATATTTAAGGTAGGGTCTCCCTGTAGTCCCAGCTGGCCTGGAACTTGCTATGTAGACCAGGCTGGCCTTGATCTCACAGAAATCTGCCTGCCTTTGTTTCCTGAATGCTGGGATTAAAGGTATGCCAGTGCTCAGATTAAAGGCCGGCCTGTGCTACTATGCTCTGCACTGTTAGCTTTTTAGGATTCTCCATACTGATTTCCATACTGGCTGTACCAGTTTGCAATTCCACCAACAGTGAATGAGGGTTCCCCTTTCCTAGAATCCTTGCCTGGTTGTTTTCTTGATGTTAGCCATTGTGACTAGGGTAAGAGGAACTCTTTTTTTTTTTTTTTTTTTTTTTTTTTTTTTTTTTTTTTTTTTTTTTTTTGGTTTTTTTTGGATAGGGTTCCCCTTTACTCCACGCCGGCCTGGCACTAAATATATAAAACAGGCTGG